TGTGAAGAAGAACTAAGTTCAATCAAGAAGAATAACACATGGGTCCTTGTTGATCTACCCAAAGGATTCAAACCTATTGTATTAAAATGGGCATTAAAGATAAAGAGGAATGCAGATGGTAGTATATGTAAACATAAGGCACATTTAGTAGCAAAAAGATATTTTCAAAGACATGGCATTAACTACAGTGAGGTATTTGCACCTGTGGCTCGTGTTGAGACTATCAGAATGGTGATTGCATTTGCAGCATCAAGGGATTGCTAGATTCATCATCTTGATGTAAAAAAGCATTCTTACACGAAGAGTTACTGGAGGAAGTTTATGTTACTATGCCTGAAGGGTTCGTTATCAAGGGTAAGAAAGATAAAGTCTATAAACTGCATAAAGCTATTTATGGCTTGAGACAGGCACCAAGGGCGTGGAACGTCAAACTTAACCGAATCTTGAAGGAGCTTAGTTTCACTCGCTGCTCTAAAGAGACGTCACTTTATAAGAAAGAAGAGAAGGAGGGTCTTCTTCTCGTGTGTGTGTGTGTGTGTGTGTGTGTGTTGATGATCTACTTGTCTCAGGTTCATCTTTGAATATGATCGTTGAGTTCAAAAAAGATATGGCTCTGAAGTTTGAGATGACTGATCTTGGAAGATTAAACTATTTTTTGGCATTGAAGTACGTCAAAATGGGGGAGGCATCTTGTTTTCACAAGATAGATATGCCAGAAGATTCTTGAAGAAGCCGATATACATGAATGCAATCTTACTCATATACTTATGGACATGAATGTGAAGCTTTCAAAGTCACCACAAGAAAAAATGATTGATGAAAGGGAGTACAAAAAGAGCATTGGGTGCCTTCGTTATCTACTACACACACACCCTGATATTTCTTTAAGTGTGGGTGTGCTTAGTAGATATAGGCAGGAACCTAAAGAGTCTCATGGCGTCTTTAAAGCAAGTTTTAAGGTACTTGTGTGGTACTACATCTTTCGGTCAAAGGTTTACACAAGCACCAAAGCTAGAGTTAATGGGTTTCAGCGATAGTTCCCACAATATTGATGTTGATGATGGCAAGAGTACAACCAGACATTTTTTCTACCTTGGTGATAGTCTTATAACATGGTGTTCTCAGAAAACACGCGATTGTTGCGTTGTCATCATGTGAAGCGGAGTTCATGGCAGCTACGGAAGCTGCAAAACAGGCGATTTGGTTACAAAAACGTCTAAGCGAAGTCACAGGCGACGATTGCAAGAAGGTGGTTATACGGGTTGATAAAAAGTCTGCAATCGCCCTTACTAAAATCATGTATTCCATGGTCGAAGCAAACACATCCACATGAGGTTCCACTTTATATGAGAATGCGTTGAGGATGAAAGTTGAAGTAGAGCATATTCGAGGAAGTGATCAAAGAGCTGACATACTTACAAAGTCATTTAGTCAAGTTCGATTTATAGAAATGAGGAAACTGATAGGAGTACAAGACATGTGTGAAGTTAGAATCAAGATTAAAGGGAAAAATGTTGGTTTAGGTTTGGAGTTAACTTGAAACATAAGCTATTCTAATCTTAACTTTTTATGGTTATCTACAAAGGGATTAGGAAATATTGAAAGTGTTTTTACTAACAGGTTTAGGATTTTGCAGTTTTATATATTCCGTTGCATATGTTGTTTTATCACTAGATTAAGTCCTAGTTTTTGAGATACTTGTCTAAGGCAATACAAAAGTGATTTGTGTTCTTGATCTCTTGATTTCTATAATTTGGTCATTTAATTAAATTTTAAAGCTATACAAGCACACATACATAGAGTGAATAGTGTGTAATTATTAGATTTATTATTATTGATTCGAACATAACATCACTTAGTGTTAATTACAACTTATGTCGATTTGTTTAGTGAAAAAATTACATAAAAGTATTAGTTGGAGACGTAAAAAAACAGAGGATAAGATAGTTTTTAAAAAGAAACAAATTGGGAAAAGGGCAAGCAAGTTCTTTCCACAAGTTATGTCATCATCGTATTGAATCCTCTATTTGTTGGGACCGGTCGGCCGAAATTTAATCGATTTCAACTTTTAGACGAAGAAACACATACTTTAACAAATAAAAAATGTTAATAATATTAAGAAAATACTAAAACAGATCTATGTGCGTTCCTTATAAATGAGGTCTAACTCTCTTACCAATCTATCACATTTGTTCCTTGAAATATAGCATTGTTGCTCATTGCATATATAAGTTCATACTTACGTACGTGCCACGGATGAGAGTATTCTCTACCATGGATGTCCACCAAGTGTTCTTCAATTACCGAGGAGAAGAACTGCGTTACAGCTTTGTGAGTCATCTCATTGATGCTTTTGAAAGGCATGGTATCGATTTCTTCGTTGACAAATACGAGCAGAGAGGCAAAGATCTCAAAAATCTCTTTGCACGAATCGAAGAGTCGAAGATCGCGCTGGCCATCTTCTCTACCAGGTATGCGGAATCAAGCTGGTGCATGGACGAGCTTGTGAAGATGAAGAAACTTGCTGATCAAAGAAAGCTCCAAATCATCCCTATCTTCTACAAAGTGAGTGCAAGAGACGTTAGGAAACAGACAGGTGAGTTTGGTGAAAACTTCTGGACGCTCGCCAAAGCTTCTAGTGGAGATCAGATCAAGAAGTGGAAGGAAGCCTTGGAGTCTGTCTCCGACAAGATGGGTTTGTCCTTGAAAGACAAGAGGTACTTCCCCCTCACACTCACACTCACATTCACACTCTCCCCTATGTTCACATTCACACTCATACTACCCAATCACAATCACAATCACAATCACACTCACACTCGCATTCAAACTCAGGACCGGTTCTGAGTACATTTCAATAGAACATTGGTTTTGCCACCCAAATTTTTGGAGCTATCATATATATATACTCTTACAACTCAAATTATTAAAAAAAAAAAAATTTATAAAAATTCTTATTAAATGTTTTCTTCAACTCTCAAGACATGTCATATTCATATTCACCCTCACACTCACACTCACACTCATTATTCTTCGTCTTTCTCTTTTATACACTACAATTACACCCGGAGAATCATGAGTTTTTAAGTTCAAAATGTGAAGTATATTGTATAATCTAAGGTATACATTTATTTGGCAGCTCTGAAGCCGACTTTGTCAAGGAGATAGTTAAGGAGGTCAAGAGAGTTATAGGAGCAATTAAATTAGAGGAAGAAGAAGAAAACAATCTAGAGGAAAAAGGAGAAAGCTTGAGAATTGCGTTCTCGATGCATGACTGTGTCAGCATTATTATCAACTGTTAGGACGTAGACATGGACCAACGGCTCTCTTTCCCGGAGACCCTCATGAGAATTTAGAATATCAAGAAAACTTTAGATTCAGATCAATGCCGCTTATTCACTTCATAGCAACACAAATCTCAATTTTGTTTTAATCAGAGATAACCAATAAACATACTTTTTTTTTCTTGCATAAAATGGATTCAGTTGTATAGATATAGCTTATTTAATGGTATTTAGTCTTAACACAATGTGAGTGTTTCTGTATGAGTTTATTTAATTTTCTGGAAGAAAGTTTACAAGTGACAAAATTGCATGCTAGCCATCTTTGAGTTTGTTGATCTATTCAGTTCTTGCGTTTTTTTCTTCCCTAGTTCCACCAAACCAGAAGATACAAAAGTTAAAGAGTCATCATATGTCTTTCTTTTTGACCAACAAAAGCTACGGTAAAAAACGGTATGCTCTTTGTAACACCATCTGCCAGAAACGACATCAAGATCCAACGGTTGGAAGTAATTTTTATAAGCCTAATGCACTGAGTAAAAAATTGAATAAATATAAATAGAATTTGTATAAAGTGTAAGGACTGTGTAATTATATGGGTATTTGATTTTATGAAAAAATGATAAATTTTACAAAAATGTTCTCAAATAATTATGGAAGGTTTCTGATATTATTTTAGAATATTTTCTAAAATGTGTTTGGATAAATGTATAGTTGCGTCTAAATAATAATTAAATAATTCTATAAATCAATTAATTATGTGATATTTCTAGAACGATTATTGAATACTTTTATTCAAAAATATTCTTTTACATTTCCGCGAGATTATTTTTTGATGATCAAATAACTCATAGCTATATAAATAGACACAGTCTCTTCATTCTAAACATACAAAACACACAGAAAAGCATACACTTAAAACACAATTAGATAGTTTTGGCAAAAGTCATAGTGTCTATATAGGTTAGTCTCGAGAGTATAGCGTAATTATAGTTAGTTCGCAGATTTTGTTTCTGGTGCAACAAAACAGACTTATCCTGGGATTCAAAAGTCGCATAAAAATTATCTTACATTATCTATTGAATTAAGGAAAAATATCAAGAATCCTGACTCCATGAATTCTTTTATTTCCTTAACAAATTTCTAAACGTTTTATACTTGTTCTATTATCGTTTATATACTTTCTGTTTCGTGATTTTCACTTAGGATTTTCGTTGTTTTACAACAACAAGCAGATTAGTAAAACATATCCAACAATACAATTTATTGCCGATCTCACATATATGAAAAATAATTCACGATATATTTTGAATCTGTTGTACGACTTGAATTAAGTCACTTGACTAACCAAAACACGCAGATCAATCTGAACGGTGACATAGAATTGAAAGGGAAGATGTCCAAAAGCAATGTAGAGAATTTTAATATACTTTAAAAAAAATTCAAACCTTCTGAATCTGATAAAGCATAACTATATAAATCATACATACGAAGTCGGACCATTGACCTTAAATATTCGCAACCACTAGAACATGCATGATTCTTGGCCATATATATGCATTTGTTTACTTAAGAGAGCACTAATAGTATTTCTGTATGTTCATGTTATTTTACTTTGTCGTGTTCCAACTGTTAGAATGAGAAAGCAAAGAAAAGAGAAAATCATTTAGGGGAAATTAACGAGAAAGCTTGAGAATTGCATTCTCGATGAATGATGGTTTCAGTATTATCATCAAATGTTTTCAGTTGTATACTCGAAACTTTAAAAGTTATAGCTTTTAATAATGATATTTAGTCTTAACACAATTTGAGTATATGTAGTATGTACTACTTAGATCAGTTTCTTTTTCTCGAAGAAAGATTTCAAGTGCCAAAACTGTAAACCAGCTACCGCTAAACAAATCCCTAGCGACAAGAAACTAAACCACGCCATTTTCGAATATGTGGATCTATTCAACTCTTGCATTTCTGCTTCCCTGATCATGCCATCAAACCATAAGATATATAATAAGTATAAAATTCTAATCATCTCCAACGCACCAAAAAAAAATTAAAGGTATAAAGGTTTAGAACTTTTTGTGTATATACCTATCACGAAGATAATACATCTCATCATGGATAGACTCAACAGTGTCGAATAACCTCTCAACCGACAACTCCATCATCTGCCAGAATTAAACAACATGAAGATCCAAACAACAACAACCACAAGTAAAGAAAGTCTTGTAGTCTCAATTTTACATAAAACAAACATAACTAAACTAAACATATATACACTTTGAAACCAAGATTAAAGAGTCATTGACCAATGCCACAGAAAGTGTATCCTATATTTTCTGTTGACTAACTTAGGCTAAAAGATTTAAAAAAAAAAACAGAAGTACATACTTTGACTTGGCTCCTCTTTGGCACTTTAGACCAATCTTTGGAGGCAGTAGAGTGAACACCAGAGGCCCAAACAAAATCAATGGTCAACGTGGTCTCCGGCTTATGATCAACGGCCTTGATGCACGTAAAGTAATCACCCGTTTCAGACGCAGTAAACGAGAACTCTCCAGCCTCCACCTTATCCGCTTCGTGCAGCGTATCCCATTTTGGCGACGTCATCTACATAAGTCACAAGACATCAAAATATTTAGAGAACAATTAACTTTTTAAGTTTAATTTTAACATAAAGAATTCCGATAATTTAGGAGCAATGGACATATGTATAATAGTATTTTTTTTTAAAAAAAAATTGGAATAAAAGCGAATATTCGATCAGGCTATTATGTTTAAAACCATCGAGAGAGATCGAGGTGAAACGTTTTTATAGCGTACTATGTACCCTGGCGATGATTTTGTGAGAATCAGGAAGAGGATGATCTTCGTGAGGGTTGACAATGAAGTATTTGCCAACGCTGATGGATTTTTCGTGAATATCCTCCGATATGCATTTCATCTGGCCAGAGTGAAGCTCGAACTGCATTGAGAGTGTTGTTGGAGATAATAACGTAAGAATCAAAAGACAAACCAAGCTTCGACGAAGAAGATCCATGGTGAGAGTAGAGAGAGAGATAGAGAGGTGGTCTTTGCAGTATTCAAAGTTTTGGCCGTTTTAGGGTAAGCTGCAGAGAGACAACGAGAATCAATAGTACATTCATTTAGTGTCACGTGTAAACATTTGATTGGGTGAAACACGTGAACGCAATCTTGTTCAACGTCAATTGTTATTCCCATTTTTGGCGCGAGTATTTTATGGGCTTTAACAATTAGTATGTTAGGACCCAAAGGCTTTATAAAATCACTTTGCAAGGCTCAACAAACTTTTAATAGTACCTATATGCTGTTAACAATAAGAGCACATTGTTAATTTCTGCAAAGTACAGCTCTTATGGTTCATCCCTTCATTTTTTAACCAAATATCTAAAAACTCAGTAGATGTTAAATATCCATTCGATTAGTTTTCACTTACAAGACAATGCCATTGTTTTTATGATGAGAAAGCAACCAATAGATCTTATAAACTCTAAAACTGACTAAAGTCAAATTCAACAGCAGAAAATCTTGGATGAATATTTTATATTGTAAATGAATTATACAATATATTATGTGAAAATCTGATCCTTACTGGAAAATACTTAGTTATACTAAGCTATATAATAAACTGAACTAAGTGTTATTGAACACTCTGTTAGTTGAACTATAACATGAAGTTGATGATGACTTCTAACTATTAATAGCGGCAGAAATGATGAGAACTCTAAGAGACATGTAGAGCCTTTGGACTTTGCAATTTGCAAAACAACAGAACTCTCTCTTGGGATCAATTTGCAGTAGCTGTCAAGGAAGCTCAATAAGATAACATGATATGGGAAAGTAGTCTCTGCTAAACAAAGGAATAAGATTACTTGTATGCAAAGTAATCCTCAATAATGTAACCAGGAAGATCCATCCACTTTAACACAGAGGAAAGTTCCATATAGATCACTAACCACTAGAGAAGGATTTGAGTAGTTCCCATCTTGGAAATTTCCTTTCTTTGTGTCACAGACCTGCTTCAGTTTCTGTACAGTACGAGATGTAACTAAAGGTTGTATAGCCTTTATACCAGGAAGTGATATTCAAATGAGGTTTGGCTTAGATTATCACTTTGATTACCTAACCAATCAAACCAATATCTTTGAATCTGAAACTTGTCTTTTATGTTATCCCTAAGCTTTACGTTTTCTCTCATGTATGATCATATAACAAAGCCGTCATTATTTTTCTCATTCATTCGATCATGCGTACGTTTAAGAAACGCATCACCGCTAACTGTCTCTCTGTATCGCAGACGATACAAGTATACAACACTGTCTTCTAGAGCCCGTAACAGCCACACTAATGTTTGAGCTTTCACATATAATTAAATATAGTTATACCTGCCTCTGTACAACGAGATCCGCTGTAGCACAAAGGTTAATTTCATATTGAATGAGAATAGATGGGCTAGGCCCTTGTTTCACCCCCTCCTTGAAATCCGGGTTCGAATCCCGGCAGTGGAATTTTTTAAAATTCAACAGGTTTATCTATGGATCTATTAGTTATACTATCCTTTGTAAAGGCCCACATACAGATACTAATCATATACTGATTATCAAAAGACGTCTCCATAAACTCCTTACGCGGGGCCGCAGTCACCACGGCGAGAGAGGATTGCTTTGTTCAACTTAAATCCTCCGACCTAATGATCTTTCAAACATCTCTCAGTAATCCGTATATTAAACCAAAAACTTTATCTTAGAATTAAAAAATCATGAACGTATGCAAATCAAAATAGAAAAAAACAATCGACTAAATCATTGAATTGAGATCAAAACCAGGGACAAGGTCCGATGTTTGCTTATCAGATATGTGTTACAAGCAATTCTATAACACGATTTGGACCGAGCAAAATAGCAGTAGGCATGGAAATTAAAGATCAAAATCCTCCATAAGTTTTGATCAAGGTTATTCATAAGAAGGTCGTGAATCGAATTACTAGTATGAAGGAGATGAGAGAGCCAGCATACACGAGCCATGGAACCATGGTTCTCAGTTAGATAATTTTTTTATTTTATTTTATTTTATTTTTATATCATCCTCCTTTGACCATAATAAACTCTCTACTAAAGTTACATGCATTGTAAAAGAGTTTTTTGGTTAAATAAATTTAACATCTATTCAAAAAGAAATCATTGAATCTCCATAACGTGGGTTATGTATTCACATCTTCATGAAGAAGTTCCATGCAGTGATGAGAGGTAACTGTCTTCGTCGTCATCACCAGCTTTTTCAACATCGCTAACAAGTAACACCATCCATGACCATTGTCATCAAATTTTAAACTGGTAACGTAAAATTGGTTTGGTGCATGTCCGAGTCAGATGGCCAGACCACGATTATTTTACTGATAAGATTAGGTATTAGCCGCATGCCCAAAAGATTAGGATTGTTCTTTTTCCGAATGAATGTAAAATTTATTCAGTCAAATGAGTTTCTTTTTCTCGAAGAAAGATTTCAAGTGCCAAAACTACTCTAAACCAGCCACTGATAAACAAACCCCGAAGGACAAGAAACCAAACCAAGCCATCTTCGAGCTCGTAGTTCTATTCAGTTCTTGCATTTCTTCTTCCCTGATCACGCCACCAAAACATAAGATAAAATAGTAATATGTATTTGATCTCGTCATCTCTAAAGCAGCAACAACAACAACAGCAAAACAACAGAACTCTCTCTTGGGATCAATTTGCAGTAGCTGTCAAGGGAGCCCATATAGTAAACATGATATGGGAGAAGCATCGCATCGCAAAGTAGTCTCTGATAAGCCAAAGGAATAAGATTACTTCATTGCAAAGTAATCGTCAAGAACGTATCTATGAAAATCCATCCACTTCAACAGAAGAAAGTTAGGATCTGAGTAGTTCCCATCATAGATTTTTCCTTTCTTTGTTTACAGACCTAGTTTCTGTATAGTACGACATGTAACTAAAGGAATTGATATTCAACTCAGGTTTAGCTATATTATCACTTGGTTCCTAACCAATATCTCTAAATCTGAAACTTGTCTCTTATGTTATCCCTCTTTTCTTTCTGTCATGTATGATCATATAACAGATCCATCATTAGTTTTCTCATTCATTTAATCATGCATATGATATGTTTAAGAAGCGCACCACTGCTCTCTGTCTTCTAGAGCGAGTAACAGCCAACTTCATTCGCCTTTAATTTTGTCTTTCAAAATCCAAACTCTTGGGGCGGACCGAGCTTACGACTAACGGGTCATGTGCCCCGTCTAGATTTTAATTTTCTTTAAGTAATCAACCTAAAACCTTGATATTCTTGAAATAATTAGCTTAATTTCTATGAAAGTGCCCCCATCTAAAGCAAAACTTTTGATAATGCCACCGGTTAATTGTTATCCCTACACCACTGACTCTTGCCATGTCTTTTTTTTTGTTTCTCTTCCATTTCAGAACCACAAAGATTTTACTAATATTTGAGCTTTCACATATAAATAAATATATTTAAACTTGAATCTAAACAACAAGATCCGCTGTAGCACAAAGGCTAATTCAAAATGAGCAAAGAACAAAAGGGTTTCCCCCATGTCTGTTCAACCCCCCTCCTTGAAATCCGGGTTCGATTCCCGGCAGCGGATATTTTGTAGTTCGATGGTTAATTTTACTAGGCCTTTCAAAGGCCCACATACAATTTAATTCAGAGCGGCTGAGATACTCAGCCAAGTTCGATCATATGTTTCAGAAACGCCTCTACTGCTCATTGTCTCTGTAACGCAGACGACAAAACACTGTCTTCTTGCGCAAGTAACATCCACATTCATTCGTCTTTGGTTTTTTTTATAGCCAAACCTCCTTCTTTGAGTTTTATAGAACCATGGATAGCTTCTATTCCTCGACCTTGGAAACCATCCAGTGCAGAGACCTCCAGGTCCTTTTGAGCTTCTCCTCTTAGCCCCTAAGAATCCTGTGCCGCGTAAGGTGTAACGATTCCAGTATCACACCCTTAACAGCTGTATTCTATATATGAAGAACAAGTCTCTGAACTATGTTATCAACTGCAATATTCAAAGCTGCACAAGCAAGAATCTTTTGAAGCACGTTTCACTTCTTCGAAGATTTTCTCCGCAGCCGCCACATTGCTTTAGTGAATAACTCCTCTCATCCATAAACATGTTAGTTAGCTGTTTTTAATGACAGTGGTTTCAGTTAGTCAATTATGGGCTTTGTGCAAACACCAATTGGCCTAAAGTCTTGAAAAGACATATTAATTACAGACCTGCTTCAGTTTAGGCAGATAGATTATCCTAACTAACCAATATCTCTGAATCTGAAACTTGTTTCTTATGTTATCCTTAAGCTTTGCTTTTTTTTTCTTTTTTTTTTCTGTTATGTAAGATCATATAAGATCAATTAGTTTTCTCTTGTCCTTAATGTTAGAGACTAGTTTGTATTCTCCTGCGTCTGACAGTCTTTTCCAAATCCTGGTTGGTAGAGAAAACTACTAATTGACCATATAGTCGCTGGGTTCGTTACTTTAATTGATTTTTTTAAAGTAAAATCCATAGACGCAGAAACGGCCATGCAGACTCTTGGAAACTACTAATATCATATTTTTTTCCTTCTTCCACTTTAACTAGACATGCCGACACCACTCCAACCTCATCGTCTTTAGAGCCAAGTTTGCGTTATAGAGAAATTACGGTTCTAACTAGGGTATTGTGGTGTAACATGTATCTCTCACTCAACGAGTTAAGCGTTATCATATGTCTCAGGTGCTTAGACACAGCTTGGAACCTCAGCACTCATCTCTCTCCTCTCTTTTCTTCTTTTGCTTTCTCTCTTTTTTTTTTTTTGTAACTTTTCTTTTGCTTTTTCTTTCTGAGGAAAACGATGAAGCAAGCTTGTCCTTCTTCGATGATTTTCTTCTTCTTTTACGCCATCTTGGAAACACTATTTCGTTACAAGACAGAAGCAATTTTGTCTTTTTCGTGGCCTTGCTGCTCCTCCATCGATGGTATATGAACGATTTGCCTTCTACTCTAAGCTTTCTTTTTCTGATCAG